TGTTGTGAATCTAATTGTTGTCACCCTTCCTTTCAGATTGTTCACTGTTTGTGAATAGAAACACAACCGATGTGCTTATGTGTTGATTCTTTACGCTGCAACTTGGCCGAATGCATTGATTATTCTGACCCTTGTACGTGGAGGTTGAAAGCTTTCTCTACATAAGTTCATACCATCTGCAAACAGAGAGACTTTTTCTTCTTTACGTAGGGCTGTGTTTCCTTGTGTCCCCACCACAGAGCCTCCTGTGCGAGGCTGTCCCATGGGTCGTCCATCCATGCTTTCTGTGGACACTGGGGTTATTTCTGGCTTTTGACTATTGCCTGAGTCCTTCAGTAACTCATAATCCTGTTTATTTAGGTGCTGAGTACAAAGTAGCACTAAACACTAAGCAAATACTCTGTATTAAATACTAAATAAAAAAGCTAAATTCTTATTGGGAGTATTTAGGAGTGGAATTGCTGGGTCGTGAGTAGATGCACTTCCAATGTTAGTAAAAAAAACTCTCCAAATGTCCCAGAGTAGCTGGGCCACTTTGTATCCCTATGACCATGTCGGAGAGTTCTTGCCTCACATTGTCACCAGCGTTGGATGAGTCAGCTCTTAATTTTAGCTGTTTTGTGGGTGTTAAGTGGCAGGACACCTTGGTTTTCCTTAGCATTTCTGATGACTAATGGCATTGAGCACCTTTCTGTGGACCTACTGGCCACTCGCATATATGTCATATTTTTTGAAGTGTCTGTTCCCATTTGCTGCCTGTTTTTTATTTGGATGGTTTGCTTTTTGCCGTTGATTTGTCGGAGTCCTTTATAGATCCTGCGTGTGAGTTCTTCAATGGATATATGGTAACTTGACTTTTTCCTCTTAAACTACAGCATAATCAGTCATTTGGTGGAAGAAGTTTAACAGCAGAAGAGAAAAGGGATTCCTCTTGCGTGATTTTGATTCTCTGGGAGGTGCTGAGGCTTGTGCGTGACAGGCCATGCCATGGTATGTGTGGTGGATGCCCTGGGTCCCCAAGGAGCAGGTGTTCTACACACAGCGCCGACTGGGGAATTCTGTGGCTATGCACGCAGTCATTTCCATCCAAATCTACATCTGTACTGGCTGTGTCTCATCATCCCACCGGACAGCATAGAAGGACCACAGAGATGGCAGGTCCCTGTGTGAACATGCAATAGTCGTGGGTTCAGGAGGCGTCCTTGGAGATGGGGTCGGGGAGGTGATCCCGGATCAGCCGCTGAGCTCTAATCCTAACGACAAGGGTCCTTGTGGTAGAGTTGCTGTGGGATATTTGACACAAAAGGAAGAATTTGTGTGGGGAGAGGTTTGAAAGGGCTTTGCTCCTGAAGTAGGAGGGAGGGACATGAAGCAGGAGCAGCCTGCTGCCCTAGATGGAGGTAAGGTACCGGGTCCCTTCCAAGAGCCTCTGCAGGAAGCGTGGGCCTGCTGGCACCTTGGTTTTAGCCCAATGAGACTGACCTGGGACTTCTGACCTCCAGAGCTGGGAGAGGCCCGTTTGTGCTGGGCAGGGGTGCTCTGATGAGAGAGGCCAAGGGCTTCCAGGTGAATGCAGAGCCTCCACGGCCCAGAATTCTCCAACCAGGGGTGGGACCACCTGCTCAGGCCCAGCCTGTGTGCACTGTGGTCCCTCTCTGGGGCTCCCAGTTCCACCCCTATCCCAAACTTACCCAGGGTGCACACCAGCCCCCAAGTGTCCATAGCTGGCAGATGGCACTTAGCAGCACACCCTCACTCCAGGGAGAAATCTTTCTCTTCTGGGTCATGGAGCTCTTTGCAGGTAGAGAGAGAGCACATGACCTTCTTGTGGAAAGGTGCACTCGGTTGTGCAATGCGACTGCTGCTCGTGGTATCGGGGGCTCCCTGAACCCTTCTTGGACCATTGTCAGAAGAGCCAGGTGCCGAAAACAAGTCCAGAGGGCACTTTCTGTGCCCAGAGTCCCCCAGTGGTTCCAGTCACCCCCCTGACCCTGTGTCAGGTTCAGCATCCCTGTGTCAGGGAGCTCGTCAGCACCCCTGGGGAGGGTGTTGGTTTTCTCATCTTGATGAGCAATAGCTGGTATCCTGGTCTCTGTGCTGCCCTCTGGGCATAGACCCGCTGGGGATACCAGGAGCCAGGTCACGCCAAGCGTGTCATGTTCCTGCTCTGGAATCCAGCGACCGCCCCTGGCGGCGGGTGTGACTGGCAGCCATGGAGCGTGTGTCCTGACACCCAGTGCAGTTCAGGGGAACAGAAGCAGGGAGCTCCTCCAGCCTGGCTCCCAGTGTGGGAAGGGCTGTGAGGGGTGGAAGGGGCCTTGGGCTGAGGTCCCAGACACTGCAGGCATATTACTGGTGATGGGGCCACTTGCCCCCTCACCCTCGGGAGTCCCCTTGGGGGCCCAGGGGAGCTACCTGTCTGGTTACCACTTTCCTGCCCAGGGATACCATCTCTGGGTGCAGGGCCAGGGTGCATTTCTCCCAGCTGTGGGTTAACGTGTGGTTCCCAGTCCCCAGGGGCTTCTGGAGTGGTTGGATGTCACTCCCCCTCCAGACTCCAGCTTCCTGGGAGCAAAGGCCTTCTCTCCCCTTTGACCGTGTCCACAGAAGTCAGTCAGTGTGTGTGAGCCTCACACCCGGGCCCCCCCTCCATCACTGGCAGGACTTGGGGGCTGGGCCCCCCTCCCATCCCCCGCAGTCCAGGCTGTACTGAGCCAGGCATCCTCTGGGTGAGTGCGGGTAGCCTGGGCCTCCATGCCGATGGCTTCTCCTCCTTTGTGTGTTTGCTGTCATCCCTCGAGGCAGGGGACCTAGCACACACCCCAGGCTGGGCATCTGTCCCAATGTCCCCGATGCTCGTTTGGTGATGCTCCTAGACCTGGTATGTGGGGCCACCCGACCTCCTCGGGCCTTGGCCTTTGCCTGCTGTTGAGGAGAGGCCCGAGGACAGCCTGGTGCCTCACTGCTGCCAGGCCCTGCCAGTACATCCTGTTTCTGAAGCCCTGGTCACAGTTGGTGGTGCCTTGTAGTTGGTAGAAATGATCGCTAATACAGAGTGTCTGTGTCTCCTCTCTGCTCCGTTGACATGATTGTCTTATAATAACTTTCTCGAATCTGCGTCCCTGCTGCCTAGTTCTTCCTGCCAGAGAAGGAAGAACTCCCTTCTCTACGAGGCAGGGCTGCTTCCCTCGCCTCTAGGCGGTGCGTGTCCCTGGCGGGTGGCACGGTGCTGTACTCGGGTCTTGGCCCGTTTCAGAGTCTTCTCTGCACGCTGTCCTGTCTTTCCTTTGTCCTGGTCTTTGCCTGAATTTCTCAAATGACTGAGAGCACATTGGAATTGCTTTGGCTTCTCCAAGTGGAGGCAGTTCTGTAGGACAGGTTCCCCTTCCCGTGGGGCTTGGGGCTCAGAGAGCCCACCCAGGTCCAGCTCAGTAGCCGTCGTCACGTTGCCATTCAGGGTGAACATCATAAAGAGCTGGTGAGTTTTCCTCAATTGTTGCTGAGCTGATGGTGCCCAGGCCACCTCCTTGGTGTCCTCAGAGTTTCCCTGCCGGTGAGCTGAGGCGTACTGGATCCTTGAGGATTTCCTATGGTGAGCTGCTTCTCCATGGTCTTTATGTGTGGCTGGCTTTGGGAGCTGGCTGGTTGTGTGGACCCAAAGCAGAGCCCGTAGGGAGGACTTTGTCTGGCCTGGAGAGCCCTCGTCAGAGCTGCGGGGCAGAGGGACAGCCAGGATGGCTCGCCTGCCGGCCTGTCCCCTGGGCCCCTGCGCCCTTGGTTGTGTGCTCCGAGAGATTGTCCCAGGGTCCCACGGCGGGAGGAGCACCCCCTGTGCATATTTGGGCAGTACCCTGAGTGGCCCATTGGCCCCACTGCCACCAGAACGGCTGATTTAGGAGTTTACTCTCATTCTTGCTCATGGAGGGGGTCCTCCAGATTTCTCCTTGGCCCTGGTGACAGGAAGCCCCATCTCCCACCCCTTGGACCTGGAGCAGGTGCTGTGACCAGGCCCTGGTTGGACCTGGGGGCGCTGAGGGTATAGGGGATAGAAGTGCAGTCAGATCACTGGGAGGAGGCAGAGGTGGCAGCTTGTGGACCCGTGCCTCCACGCCCCACCCACCAAGCCCTTCCTCATGAGGACCACCCTCTCTTCTCAGATCCTGGGCTTGTGAAGCTACCCCCACCCCAGACTCTAGAGAGGACGTGTGACTCGGGCCTGGCTGCTGAGAAGCACAAGTGCCTCACTGTTCTCCATTTGGAGACGAACGCAGGAGGGGCCAGAACCTGAACAGGCCTGTGGGCTGCAGCGCTGAGGCCTCTGCAGGGACTTTGGAGAGAGGACAAATTGGTTACACTGTACCTCGAGGGAAGAGGAGTGGTCTGTGGCCACTGGCAGCCATATGTGCAGCCTGAGAATGGAGCAAACAAGGAAAGAAAGAAAACAGGCAGGAGACAGAGAAAGATGGCTCTTCTGCCCCTGGATACAGCCGTGCCTGCAGGCAGTCCTGGCTCAGCGTGGTTCATATGTAAGAGCCAACATTCCATTTACTGCTGAAGCTGTGTGTGCATGTGTGTGTCTGTGTAAGACCTTCTATTATTTCATGCTAAGAGTCCCAGGGGATGCATTTTGCACACTTGAGAGGCTGAAGCTGTAATGAACGTGTGCCCCATCACCTGGCAACACTTTCTGCCTGGGTTCTGCGGGCACTCAGCCTTGGGGACAGCTCGGATTCAGGAAGATGGTTCGCCTTTCCCTTTGCTCATTTCTGCAGCCCCAGAAGAAATGACCTCTAGACAACTTGGACTCTGCAGTCATCTTTTGAAAGGAATGTCCTTTATTATGCGAGGAGGGACCATAGCAGGGGGCTGGGGAGTGTGTGGCTGCCCAGGCAGGGAATGGGGGCAGGCTGGACAGGGCCGCACATGGAAGCGCAGGTGGGTGTTGTTGCTGGGATCACCTGGAGGGTTCACAGAGAGGGACGCAGAGCTGAGTACGGTGTCCCCGAGCCTACAGGTCTGAGTCCTCAGGCAGGTGAGATCCTGCTGCTTGGCTCTCTGTGCACAGGGTGGCAGAGGATGGGGGTAGTTCTGGGCTCTGAAGGCAGCTCAGGGACCAGGGTAGGGGCTCCATCCACCTCCAGGGCCCCTGGAGAAGCCCTGCGGGGTGCAGCTCCAGGCGCCACCACTCACCTGCGTGGGCTGATGCCCTAGTCTCTGGAACCCTGGCAGCGATCTGAGGGGCAGAGTGACCAGGAATGAGTGCCTGCCTGGCCCCAGCCTGCTGGGTGGCCGCTGAACTGAGGGGACCCAAGGGGTGGGGGTGGGCCGGAGGGCAGCGGGCCTCACCATCAGCGCTCAGAACCACAATCTGGTCCTGGTGCAGACCGATGTCTTCACATACGGATTTGAATGCTGGCAGGAAGTCCTGCTGCCTGCTGAGGTCCCGGACTGCAGGGGAACATGGGGGTGGGGATAGGGGCACCAGAGCAGGGCCTTGGCCCCAGGGGGTGTCGGGGGACCAGGCTCTTGGGGACTGAGAGGAGAGGTCATGTGTCATGGAAAATTGGGGCTGATGTGGGGAGAGACTCCTTCTCTTGGGATGACATAAGATGAAGTGACTGTCCCCTCCCCTGCTACCCAGAAAGGCGTGGAGGTGGAGCCCTGGTCACGGGATGGTCCTGGTGAGGGGGCCATGTGAGCCAGTGTGTACAGGTGTGAGCAAGCGCCTGGGGCTGCAGGGGTGAGGCTGAGCAGGAGTGTGGCTGTGGCTGGAGCCTTTGTCCGGGGTCTGGTCCCAACCTCCCCAGACCTAGTTAGCCCGCTACTGCTGCGGGGGCCATAGGCCCATACCCAACGTGAGGGGTGGACCTGGGTCCAGCCAGTCTGGATGGCTCTGGAAGGAACTACACATACCCATCAGGTGAGCCACCAGGCTGGTGTCATCGTTGTACTGGTTGATCATGTAGAGAATCAGGTAGCTCTTGGGGTCTACCTCTGCCAGGTACAGGTCATTGTGTCCCCAGTCTGTGGAGGATAGTGGGGCTGACACAGGCTGGGAGATAGATGGCCACCCCGGGGAGGTGGGTGATTGTAGGCCCACCTGGGAGGGACACCCGTTCACTTTCTGTGGGGGTGGTGCCCCATGTCCTACCTGGTCTTGGGGGACCTGGGTGTGGAAGTGGGCTCTGTCCCCTGAGAGGAGCTGCCTGTACCCTGCCGGGCTGGGGGCCTGAGTCCGGATGCCTACCTGTCCCCCAGGCGTGGAGCTGCCCGGTCCTTGCCGCAGGGCTCTAAGCCCAGGAACCCTACCTCTTGGTGGGGCCATGACCTCGGGGAGCCTGCTGCCTGCACACACTTACACTCCAGGTCAAATTTGTTGCTGGTGGCAGTCTTGAACGCAGTGAGGGAGAGTTTCTCGCACTGGCCGTCCTGCCTGCAGACAGAGGTGGGTGGGCTTACTAGTGTCCACCTGCCCCCTTTCGTGTTTTATTATTTATTTATTTTATTTTATTTTTTATTTTTTTAAAGATACAAAAGAGATCTTTATCTCTCCAGGAAAGCTCTCTAACAGTGACTGGCCTCGTTTGTAAGGTCCTCATTTTCTCTAAGGACCAGAACCACAGGCCTTGGCATTGCTTAATCTACTTGACGAAGGAATTAAAACTGGAAACTAAAGCTTGCTACTCAGCCCCCATGCCTGGGGTGGGTGGGGGACCCTGAAACCCGGAGCGGGGATGGACGCATGGGGGTGGGGTGGGGGGACCCCGTGAGCTGCAGAAGCACCAGCGTGAAGGGAAAGGAAGCCAGCTCCGGGTTGGGGCTCAGCAGGCAGTTCTGGATGTCACCTCCTCCCACTGTCTGGTCCTGGCCTTCCCCCTCCTCTGCTCCACATCAAACCAAGAGTGACTTTTCCAAGATGCCCTTTGACTGGGCGTGCACCATTAGACCTCAGTCCTTGGCTAGAGGACTTGGATTTCAGTGAGGTGGAGGCGGAGCCCACTGAGGGGGAAGACTTGGAGGCCTGGGGAGCCACTTCCCCAAGTCTGCAGACCAGAGGCAGCGCATGCTGGGCCGGCGTAAGGATGACCTCCTGCAGCAAACTTGCAAGCTTTCCTGAACCGAAGTTTTGAGGTCGAGTCTGCCTCCGTCTCCGAGAGCTTCCTCACGTTAGAAGGCACGACCTCCAACCCTGTGACCCTGCGTCAGAGGATGCTGGCTGCTGGCCACAGCGGCCATCGGAGGCTCCAGAAGCAACAGATCTCCTAGCACTCGCTTGCTGCCCCCGCCCCCAGCAGCGCCACCGCAGAAGCCCAGGCCCCCTTTTCATGTTTTAAATGAAAGTATCATTTGCCCACGGTGACAGTCACTACTTTCTGTGTGGGCTCTGAGGGGTTTGACAAGCACATCCATTCGATCCCTTAAAGGTGACATTGGTCCTCTTTGTCCTGGGCTGCCCTCCCCTCCTCTGGCGCTGACCTCCTTTGATGCCTGGATGCTGGGTCAGCAGCTGAGGGAACCCCCACCTCAGTGACAGCAGCATCCCCACCCCCCACTGCCCACACATGTCCTGACCAGGGACCCTGTGCTGAGAGGGGGCAGGAGGGTGGCCGAATCAGACCTCTGATGCTTCTCCTGAGCAGCAGTGTTCCTGTCCCCTCACCAGGGCCAGCCCCATCCACCCTGCAACTCCACCGCACCCCCACGCCCCTTTGTGCCCTGCACCCACGGTATGAGGATATCCCCGTGCAGGTTGCCGTCCTTTGCGCTCATGCTGTGGATCAAAACCCTGAAGTGCCCCCGGGGTCTGATCAGATCGGACTTGTTGGAGGCCAGGGCAACGGAGTGCCACCTCCCAGACAGCTGTGGGCAGCGAGAGAACAGAGTGAGTTGGGGACCCTGCCCTCCCCTGCCCCACCCCATGTCCGCAGCCTGTTCACGCAGCACCCAGGAAAGCCCGTGATGCTGCTGGCGGCTGGCAGATTCAAGGTCAGTCCCCATGTTCCGCCCCCACCCCATCTGGGCCAGTGGACCAGCTGGCAGGGGTGAGCATGAGGAGGAGGCATGTCCAGGGCTTCTGGCCCTACGGGTCCCAGCTCAGCACTTGCCCCCTCGGCCCCAGCGGATGGTTCATTCCCTTCTAGACTCAGCTTAGGGCTCCTTCCAAGACCCTGGCAGGTGCTCCAGCCCCCATTGTTGCCTTCGGACCCCCTCCCTACTGATCCCCCCCATCATGGACTCCCCCACAGATCTTCCCCTCCACCGTGGACTCCCCCATGTGATCCTCCTGCCATGGACTCTCCAACAGATTACCCCATCATGGGCTCGCCCTATGGCTCATTAACAAATCTCCAAAAGTGGAGTCTAGACTCCGGTCCTCTGTCTGCCTGGGCCTGCGGTGGTCGGCCAGGGGCAGCGGTACCCAGCAGGGTGTCATACAGGGCTGACCAGGGAGTACAGGCCTCAGCCCTGCTTCCTGTGCATGAACTCGGGGGCCACGTATCTGGCTGCCTGAGGCCAAGATTCCTACCCGCAGCCCTGCTCCCTGGAGGACCCATGAGGCTGCCGCCTCAGCCAGGCCACCCACCAACTCCGAGGCTCACTCAGGGTGGGGCCACCTCCCGCCCACCGGCCGGCGGCCTAATGGGGCTCACCTCCTCTAGGCCTCCCTGGGGCTCCTCATGGTTTCCCTCCTGAGCCTGGAGGCCACAGATCAGTGCCAGGCCCACGGTCAGCAGTAGGAGCTGCATGTCCACAGCACCTTCTGTCTGGGTTTGGCGACAGCTGGAGACTTGCAGGGTCTGGTGACCCGGCCCCGTGGCCTGTCTATATAGCCATGTGGTTGGGGGCGCGGTCAGTGGTGAGGAGCTCCTGTCCTGTCCCCATGGGGAATTGGGGCTCTTCATACTGATGTCTTAATCTTGTTCATAATGTTAGCTCTTGTGTGTTCTCTTCCCTGTTGCATTGGACACCAAAAATATCATGTACCCATACAGCCAATTTCCAAAATCAACAACCAGCTGTGGGCAGTGCCAACTTCCTGGGCCTGAAGGGTGCCAGCGTCACCTTGGTGTGCCCTCCGTGCCTGCCACGTTGCCGGGACATGGCCAGTGACCAGGTGCTGTGGATGGGGAGACCCCCAGGGCTGAACGGTGGGGTGCAGGAATGGGGGAGCGGGGCTGGAAGCCTGCAGCCCTCCATAGGACGAGGACGGCGACTGAAGTGTGCTGGGGGCTGAATTGTGAGCCCCCCAAAATGCGTCTGTGAAGGTCCTGACCCCCAGGACCTCAGCATGTGACCTTACTGAAGGCAGCGTTGTTACAGATGTCTTTAGCTGAGATGAGGTCATGCTGGAGTGAGGGGGCCTTGATCCCGTATGACCTGTGGCCTCGTGAACAGGGGCTGCGTGGACACAAGATTCACAGGAGCGGGGAGGGGCCCGGGGCAGATCCTTCAGGGGGAATAGCTAGGCTGACACCTCATTCCCAGGCTTTGGCCTCCAGACTGGGAGAGAGGAAATCTCTTCTGTTTAAACCCCATCTCTAGGCCTTTGTTCCCGCCTGGACTCAATGCCTGACCAGCACTCCCCCCGCTCAGAGGCCACAGCCCTCTGGCTGCTGGCCTGTCCCCTCTGCCTGGACAGGAGGGACCCTGCGGCGTCTTCCCTAGGGAGCCCCCGGCCCGGCCTCCGTGACCGGGTTGCAGAGAGTCACAGGGCCTGGGTTCTGCTCTAACACGCAGGACCCCCAGCCCCCAAAGCTGGGCTGAGAAGGTCCCACGATGAGAAGCACTTTCCTGTGGCCTGCCTCCCACAGGGTCAGGTTGGCTGAGCGGATGGAGCAGAATCCCATGGCGACTGCTGACCCCCAAGCTTCACTTGTCCCCACAGTGGTCACCTGTTGACCTCCCAACGTTGTCATGAGCTGCGTGTTTATCCCCTATGATGGACGCTGGGCTCACTGGGAGCTGATAGAGTCAGGGGCGCTGTCTGTGGGGGTGCTGAGGGTCAAACTGGGTACCCCCAAAAGATACTTGAAGTCCTCACCCCCAGGAGCTAAGAATGTGATCTTCCATGGACTGAAGTCTTCACAGACGTAATGAAGATGAGGTCGTGCTGGGGTAGGACAGACCCTGAACCTGGGTGCCAGGGGTTGTGCAGGAGGAGGGATACTGGGGCACAGGCGTGTGCAGGGAGGGTGATGGGTGGTAGAGGTGGATGCGGGAGGGAGGTGTCTACCTGCCCAGGACTCCTGGGATTGTTGGCATCTCCAGGGCCTGGGGGACACCTGGGATGAATCCTCTGTAAGAGCTGCCCAAAGGAACCAGCCCCGCTGGCCTGGAAGCTGGACTTCTGGCCTCCAGAACCGTGAGGAGCAAGTTTCTGATGTTTTGAGCCACCCAGCCGGTGGGAACTTGTTCTGGCCACCCCAGGACATGGGTTCAGAGGATGACCCTGGGCAGAGCCTCGGCCACAGCACGGCTCTGACCCCTGGACAGTTGGAAAGAAACCAGAGGGCAGGGGGTCCTGCATGGGCAGCAAAGTCCACCCGCTCTGCCCACGTCCTCAGGGCTGCCTGCGGAGTGAGGGTCCCCAGGGCCAGCCTGATCCTCACAGCTGGGCGACGGGTCTCCTTGGAGGTGCCATGCCGTGCACAGGAGGGGAGCCCAGCCTGAGCTCATGCGCCCCTCCGTGGCAAGACTCCCGCCCTTGGTGCACATCCACGGTGAAAACCTCACGGGCCAGGTACCAGAGAGGCTCCTGGGCTTATTTCATCTTCGCGAATTCTGGGCGCTATAGCCATCTATTCCTTTGTTTTGGCCACACTTATGGAGCGCCCGTGTGTGCCCTCCAGGACCCTGCAGACTGGAGGCCTGCACCTGCCGTTTGGAGTCGGATGGGGCGAGACACTATGGGGCGCATTGCCAAGAAGTTCAAGTGGAGGGGACGGTACAAGGAAGACACAGGAAGTTGGGGAGCACTTTTGGGTCAGTTTTCAAAGGAAAGGTCCCCTTGAGCAGGTGACCAGTGAGCAGAGGGGGGCACAAGGTCGGGGAGGGCTGAGGGCAGGTGGAGAGCAAGGAGCAGACCCCCCACAGAGCAGGGAGCCCTACGCAGGACTTGATCCCAGGACCTTGGGGTCAGGACCTGAGCCCAAGGCAGACGCTTCACCCGCTGAGCCCCCTGGGCATCCTCTCTGCTTTTTTTGCCTGAGGGTACTTGAGTTCTAGGAGCTCCAGATTCACATCTTTTGCCACATTTGGGATCTTGTTCATCCATTATTTCTTTACATGTGTCCCCAACATCTGTCCGTTCTCTGCCCTGACACCGCAGTGAAACACCAGGCCTTGGATGTGGTCACACAGCTTGCTGGTGTGCTGCTTGTCATCCCCCACCCCCCAATCCTTTTCCTCCTTGGTTTTTAGTTTGGGCAATTCCTGCATATCTATCTGCAGGTTCACTGCAACAACCCCCCAACCCTCAGCCCCTGATCCCGGGGAGCGTGTAGTTTGATGTGTGTGCAGTGAGCTTGGGATTCCTGTTTGTTTCCTCTTACAGTTGCTGCTTCTCTCCCGAGCTGTCCCTTGTTTGTCTGAGAGCGTGCTTTTCCTTCCTGTCCACAGCCGCTGGAACCTACAGTCAGGTGACTCCAGTGCCTGCCTGCTTGGCATGGGCTTGTCCCCCATGTGTTTGCTGGTTTGGGACCGTATCCAGGATGCCATGAATGGTGTGATTTAGATTCTGGATCCTGACTTGTTCCTCTGGAGAGTTTTTGGTGGCCAGGTGTCCTTGGCTGGGCTCAGACTTTGAGCATGGTGCGTTTGCTAGGACAAGGATGTCCCTTTCTTCCCCCTGAGGCTTGCTGGCTGCACGGTCTGTCTCGGGCGTGCAGAGATGTGTCCCAGGCATGCATGCAGGCTCGGAGCTCACCCTCCTTCCCAGGATGCCCCATCCTTGCTCAGAGCTCAGGCTATCTCTAGCTTTGTTCTCCGGTTCTTTAAACTAGGAGCATCGGGGGGTTTCCATCCAAGCCTTAGCCACCGGCCTCTGCTGAGTGGGGCTGTGCTCATCAGGAAGCTGTTAAAATTAAAAAAAAAAAAAAAAAAAAAAAGGAAAGACAGAAGAAAAATACTTGGTAAGTCATCCAGTACCTTCCACCATCTCCAGTTCTGCGGCCCCTCGTCACTGTCTCGCACTTTTAGATGGTTGATGTCTAACCTCTGTGTGTGCTGGGGCTGGTCCCACTACCCTGAAGCAGGACACAGACTCAGAGTTTAACAGGGACATTGTCACTGCCAGGCTGAGAGGATGCACAGAAGGACCCACTGGGGGCCCCTGGGGGGGGGGGGCGGTCCAGGTGGGAGAAGGGGCTAGTGGGGATGGGGAAGCCTTAGAACAGGTGAAGAGAGGTCGGCTCCTGTTTTGAGGAGTCAGAGACCTGCTGCAGGGTTGGGAACAGGAGGCCTGAGGATGATGCGGAGCTGTTGTCCTGAGCACCTGGGTGGTTGGAGGTCAGGGGAGACTGGGGTGCTGTTCTAGAGGCCTCGAGCAGAGGGTCCCTGTAGGCATTGGCAGCTGTGTGGAGCTGGCAGGTGCCGTGCACTGCTGGGGCATTAGCCTGGCTCTGGGTCCCAGCATGAGGTCCCACAAGACACCAGGCCTCCAGAGTGGACCCTTCCTGGCCCGGGTGAGGTTCTGGGAAGGAACTGGAGCCCCACAGCCATGTCCTGGGGCTTTAGGGAGAAGACTAGAAAGGAATAAGGTCCAGGGAGGCTCAGGTGAGAGCCAAGCCCTCTCCCTCCCCATGGCTCAAGTGCTCTGAGCTTGATGTGGGGCTGGGGTTCTGTTGCTGACCCATGAAGGCAGGAACCTGCCCACCACCCTCCTCTTGCCAGAAGCACATGCCTCCACATTCAGTCCATCTGGGGCCAGTCTGTCTGGGGCAAGTCCATCTGGGGCCAGTTCATCTGGGGACAGTCTGGGGGCCAGTCCATCCGGGCCAGTCCATCTGGGGACAGGTCATCTGGGTACAGACTGGGGGCCAATCTGTCTGGGCCAGTCCTAAGGTGCAGCCTCATTCAGGCCCAGGGGGTCTGAACGGTGCAGCCAGGAGCCGGTCCTCTGAGAGCTCCTCTCCCTACACTGTTTCTTGGCGACGTCTCAGCATCTCTTGGGGGCATGCAGATCATGGCCTTGCTGATGATGGTTGGACAGAACCTGCAGACATGCCAACTTTGAAAGATGCCCAAGCATCGTGGAGCCTGGCTGCCAGGGGCAGAAGGGAGGACCTGGGGCCAGCTTGTCTGAGGACAGAAGGGAGTGGGATGAGGTCACCTTGCTGCCCAGGACCTCAGGACTGTGCTGTCTGTTGTGTGGCCCCTCATAAGGCCCGAGCTCTGTCACCTGCACTGAGGGCGGAGGTCAGGGCCTGAGAGCAACTCCAGGCTCACAGCAGGATGGCCGCGGGGGTGGGGAGCAGGTGCGGCCCACCTCTGGAGGGTCCTGTGTGGTTGTGTGTTGAGTCTGGGGATCCCATCCCCAGGGCCTGAGCTCCGAATTCCTTCCTGTCCTTTACCCCCACGTGACAACCCTGAGGGACCCTCCCACATGGTGTCCCACGGCTGTCAGCTGGCCCTCAGCCTGGAGCACTGCGAGGTGGCCATCAGAGCTGGGAAACATGAGGTCACGTGTGAGACTGCCCGCCCTCGTTCCCCTAACCCCTCGCATCACCTTCCAGGGCCCGTGATGGGC